CCCCCCCCTTCCCCGGGAGTGGCAGTCAGCTATCATGTGCCTGCAGGACTGTCACCGGGCAGTCACCCCCAGCTAAGGAGCTTGGCCCCTTCTTAGCAGTATGTGGCCCTGAGGGACAGGGTGGGGAGGGTACATCACCCCAGTTGTCAGACCTCCCTGCAGGAGGAAGTCAGCCACAGGGCTGAAGGCCAGGAGGCCAATACAGAGAGGCTGCTGCCACACAGGGCCCTGGGCCTGCTTTGGCCAAGTGTTGGAGGTTCCTGAGCGGGGCCGTGGTGGAAGTCTTGGCAGGGACAGAAAGCTGGTTGTCTTTGTGTGTAGCCTGCATGGCTCTGCCTCCCTGCGTGTGGGCTTGGGTACCTTGCATGTGCAGGCAGTGTCCCTCACTACTCTCTCGTTCTAGGCTTTGCCGTTGGCGTGCAGCAGCTACACCCGACGTTGGTCCAGCGGACTTATGGGTGAGTCAATGTGGCTGGCTTGGTTGGAGATGAAGTGGGTCTGAAAGGCTGGGGAAATGACAGTTTTCAGAAATATGACTATGTTTGGGGGGAGAGGAGTTAGGAGGAGATCTATTGCATTTCTCAATCCCTGGCAGAGGTCACACCACAGAAAGGGGAGCATGAGCCCTGGAGCCTCTGCCTGGTGCAACCCCACTCCCCACCTGTGGTTGGGTGACCTTGGGAGGCTTACAGGCCATCTGTGTCTAGGTTTCTTCATCGGTACAATGGGGATAACAGCCGTCTGGAAGCTGTAGGATGTACCTGGAGCAGGGTGGCACTCTCCATGTTTATTGATAGTGTTAGGGACAGTGGGCTGGGCTGTTTCCCAGGTACCCCTCTGACCTCCAGTGCTGGAAAGGTGGTAGCAGTGGGTCACTGCTGACCAGGCTCTGATTTTTGTGAATGCTGCAGCAGGTGAGATGTGACAGGGACCAGGTATCACTGGTCTTGAGTGGGCCTGGCCTATGGGCCTTTTGTGACTCATTTTGGAGCTTTCTGTCCTATCTTCCTTCATCCTAAAAAGACTCCCACATCCCACCTCTCCCTGCTGATGTCTGACAAGACCTCCCAGCTGGGTGGGGAAGGACTTGTGTGATGTATGGGTGCCTAGGACGCTCCACCTGCTTGGATTTCCCAGCACAGTGATTCATGGGGGATGTTTGATGTTGTTGATGTGGTTGGGGTACCTGGGGATGGCTGCTCCTTAGACAAGGTTGCTGTTTCTTAAAGCTTTCTGAGTCCAAATTCTGGCCTCTGGATTTTGTACCTGAGTCTCACGTGCACGCGCATGCATTCGTTCACACAGTTGAGGCTGGGCTTCTCTGTGTTCTGGTAGATTACATGACCCAGGGGAGAGTGCTGCTTGCCCACCTCAGGGGATCTTGCCTTGTGAGGCAGCACTGTGGCTCCCTGGCTCCTGTGCTGTGACAGGAGCTGCAGGTGGTGGAATGTAGCCTGGACCCTTCCAACATGCGCTCCGCCCTCAGCATCTGTGTCCTCCTGGGAGGGAGCTTAGAGGACAGAGTATGAATGGTTATGGGCTTCCTTTTCACACATGGAGGTTTTTCATACGTTCAGAGCCATCTTGAAAGCTGCCTGGGGACACCCTAGCCTTTGTGTCTTCATCCCGTGCTTTCCTCTGGGGTTGAGGCCACACAGGGAGGGCGGTCTTGGCTTTCCCTTGGCCTGCTGTGGTCCAGGTGCCCAGGCCTGGGCAATGGCCTTCACTGCT